ATAGAGTTAGAAGAGACCTCAAGGGCCATCCAGTCCAACCCCCTACCAAGCAAGAAAGAAAAGGTAAAGGTATTCCCTGTTGACAAGGTTGTCAAGTCATGTCCATCTGACCATAGTACTCATCTCTGTTACTAAGCTGAAGAGCCAGCATTGTCAGACTACTAGCTTTTGAAGCATCCTGGCTTCTTCATCCGGCAGAGGTGATAAAATTCATGTAGGGGAACAGAAGTGATGCTAGCAGTGTCACAGGTCTGCTTTAGGTGCTTGCTAGATGGTATTTAAGGTGGTCTTCAGGTGGAATTAGTGCAGATAGCAGCCATATCAATTATTGCCTTTAAGGAGTCTTAAAACAAAGGCACTAAAAGAAATGCAATAAAAATTATTTATTCATTAGAAGAAACAGAACAAACTCCCTTTGAGATCTCTAGGCTAAGATTACTCTTTTCATTGTTGCAAAATAAGGTGAAAGAGAAGGTATTGTGCTTCAAAAGTGATGCATTTTGTACTTTTTGGTTGGCCTAATATATGTAGGCATTACTATGATCTGTATTTTGCTGTATGTCCAATATAGCCCCCTCCCCAAACATTTTTAGATTTGAAGATACCACATTTGAAAAGGGGGGATGTTGACTTACAGTGAATGGACTGGGACTCATTCTGAGGTGTTAACCCCCAGCATCAAATGCCTTGTGGATTTTATTGTATTTTGCTGCATGGCCAAACATGGCTATCTCTAAAATGTGTATGATTCCTCTGGCTTTTAATCTCAGTGTTGGAATATTCTATACCTTGTGTAGTAATGGTGAATTAATCCATAGGCAACAGCAGCCTCCCCACTTGGAATTACCAGGTCTATGCAGTGCATGTTTAACTTTCATTTCATAATGTTTCTTGAGCCCTGTGCTTAGAGAGATTATTTTTTAAAATGTGCAAGCAACATTCTGTCCTGTGGCCAAGGAAGAATGTAGCCTATGGTGATTAACCAAATGAATTTAAAATTCATTTTAAAGGTTTAAAACAGGGGTAGGCAACCTTTCCCCTTTAAGGGCCGAGGGACTTCAGCTCCCAGAAGTGTCATGTTGGCCAATAGTCCCATGTTGGCCAATAGCTCCTGGGATTCTGGAAGCTGAAGTCCCTCGGCCCTTAAAGGGGAAAGGTTGCCTACCCCTGGTTTAAAATTTAAAGCAGACTTTTCATAGGCACGGTTGGAGAAGGCAATTTTACTTTCGATAAGATGCACATGAAGTAACCCAGTGGTTCTCATACTGTGGGGTGGGACCCCCGGGGGTGCAAGACTTGGAGCACCTGATCTCTTCTCCTCTTCCTCTTTCACTTCCCAAAACTTTTCTGTCCTGGCGAAGAAGACAAAGGCAAGGAGGGAGCTTCGAACCTCTGCCTGACAGGGACATCAGTAGTTGGGTATGGGAGGTGCGGACCGCACCAGATGGCACCCTAAGCAGTGACATCACTGCTCCCCAAACATATCCCTTTTGGCAGAAATGGGCTGTGGTGTTCTCCTGCATCCCTTTAAAATGCTGAAGAGATGGGTGAGGCTCAGTGGAAGGAGAAAGGAGAAGCCCTAGGTTTTGTTTTTGTTTTTTAAATAAAAGATTAATTTTAATTTTAAATTCTTTTTTTAAAATAATATTTTTTTTATTTTTAAATTTTCTTTAAAAACATCACACCAGATTTATACTTTAACTGCATGAAACTATGTACATGTAAATACGTTTAGGCTGTGCATATGATACTGTAATTTAAAGGTATAATTTTAATTTTGCTAGTTGTTTATAGAATCATAGAATTGGAAGAGACCACAAAGGCCATCCTCTCCAGCCTCCTGCCATGCAGGAACTCAAAATCAAACCATCCCTGACAGATGGCCGTCCAGCCTCTGTTTAAAGACCTCCAGCTCCTCTTGATAACTTCATTATTTGCCAATATAATGCTTCGTATGTACACATTTTTGGCAGGAATTAAATAGGTGGAATGTAACAACACTGAAGAGCCAGTGTAGCATAATGGTTTGAGTGTTGGACTGTGACTCTGGAAAACAGGGTTCTATTCCCCGCTTGGCCATAAAACCCACTGGGTGACTCTGGGCAAGTCGCTTTCTCAGCATCAGGGGAAGACAATGACAACGCTCTTCTGAACAAATCTTGCCAAGAAATCCCCACGATAGCTTCACCTTAGGGGCGTCGTAAGTCAGAAATTACTTGAATGCACACAACAACAACAACAACAACATGTTGTCTATGTCACAACTATTACCATTACATTCAGTGATCTACAGGAATCCCAATTTATGAGAAAATTACTACAAAACATTACTACAAAAAACATTACTGTACTAAGGATTCTGTATGGTATGGTATGGGAGGAGGTCAGTGTGAGGGGTGACACTATGAGTTACTGTGCTGGGTGAAACCAACCCTGGTGACTCCTCTGTTGTCTGAAAGGGAGGAGGAAGAGGAGAACTATGAATGTGTTGACAAAAATACTAAACGAAGAGAACATTTTTATTCATAGTAAAAGGTAAAGGTATTCCCCGTTGACAAGGTTGTTAAGTCGTGTCCAACCATAGGGGTTGGTGCTCATCTCCATCACTAAGCCCAAGAGTCAGCATTGTCAGAGACTACTCTGAAGTGGTACCTATTTATCTACTTTCATTTGCATGCTTTTGAACAGCAGGTTGGCAGAAGCTGGGACTAGTGATGGGAGCTCACCTCACCATGTAGCACCTGGGCCTCGAACTGCCAACCTGCATATCTTGCAATCAACAGAGTTAGCATCTTAACCACTTGAGCCACTGCATCATATACTATATATGATATAGTTCAGGGGTAGGCAACCTTTCCCCTTTAAGGG